GCTGGGTGACTCATCTCTGAGGAAACACTGAGGTATCACTTTCTGGAATCCTATGCCCTGCACTGTTTTATAATAGCAAAACTATTTTACACTGACTATAAATGCAGCAGATATGGTTTCCACCAAGGGAAAAGAAGACTTAGTAACTGACGAACCTAAAGTATCAATTATCCCCAAGAATAATATTGGAAAAAACCCACAGTCTCTATTTTAAAAGTGGCTTTCTTGCTTACAAAACACATAAATTGGGCCTCCATCGAGCATTTTAAAAATTATTGATTACATGTTGGGGCATCGGGGTGGCTCAGTCAGCCGAGTGTCTGACTCTCGGTTTCAGCTCAGGTCATGATCTCGCAGTTTGTGGGATTAAGCCCCACATTGGACTCTGTGCTGACAGCATGGAGCCCACTTGGAATTCTCTCTCTTCCTCTCTATGGCCCTGAATAATGCTGTGTATTAATCACTTATTAATAATTCTATTTATTCAGAATATATAATATAAAATTAAATATATAGTGTATATAATTAGAATATATCTATAATTCTATCTGTATTATGTATATGCTAGGATATATATATCCTTGAGTTCATTCTGGGCTTTCCTCATTACATCCTGTTACTGGTACATGATTAAAACCTAGATCACTTCTAGGATATATAAGAGATTTCCTAGAGAAGCATTTCTCAAGCTTTTTGGTTTCAAGATTCCTCATATCTTCAAAATTACTGAAGACCTCAAAGAGCTTTTGATTTTGTGGGTTGTATCTATTGATATTTGTATGGAGCATGAAAAATCTAAACTGAGAAATTTTGAAATATATCATTAATTTATTTATAACAATAATAAAGTCATAAATAACATATTTAATGAAAAAATAATTATGTTTTCCAGACCAGGAAAAAGCAGGCATTATTTTTTACTTTTGGAAAAATTTTTAGATGTCTGGCTAACTAGGAGACAGCTAGATTTTCATATCTGCTTCTTCATTCAAACAATTGTTTTATGTTATTTTGTTTCAAGTACACAAACAAAGTCTGGTCTGACCACCGAAACATGTAGCTGGAAAGGAAAGAGTACTTTAATAGCCTTTTCATATAATTGTATTATTATACTGTATCGTGATATAGTTGCAGTTTTCTAAAGATTGGCCGCAACGTGGAAGCTGAAATTCTATCCCTGAAGTCTTCTTACTCTATTACATTACAAGTCTTTTTCTATCTTGAATTTTAAGTGAATCTTTTACCCATTCATAATTTTATAACGTGGTGCATTGGTCATTGGGAAAAGATTGGTTCACAGAGATATGCAGATCTTCCAAATATTGGCACTTTCTTGTTATACACTATTAAATAAATACATTGGTTACTGCATCACCTATCTAATAAAATTTGGAACATATTTTTGTACATACAAGTGTTCTAAGATTCCATATTTTTCTTAAAAGCTTGAAATTGAATTTTAATATTGGCAATATATAATGCCTGGTACACAGTAGGGCAAAGGTTATATTCAGTATAGAGAAAGACAAAAGGACATTACACTTCAAAAAATATGATTTCCTTATTCTTCTAAGACATCTTAAATTTATGTCCCAGTTGATTTTGATGCAGGTGTTATCTATACCATCTTCTACCCAAGCAGGACCTAATCTACTTGAGCCCATAAACTCTGACGCAACTTCTCTAGAGAATATCCTTCCCAGCCCTTGCTAGGGTGAAGAGCAGTACTCATCAGGGTCTGAAGGGACATGGGGGCTACCTGAGAGGTGACAGGCTCCTTATACATAACTCTTCCTATTTCTGTTCTCATTTCTCAGCTTCACCTTCTGAAGTAATTGGTTGAATCCAATTCCTGAAACTCTCCATGGTCCTGTTAAATGAAATGGTTTACTTCTTTTCATCATCCATGTGTCTTATACACTTAACATTTCAGCTTTCTCTACTCTGCCTAAGCCATTTACCACTTATCCACCATCTTTATAACTGTCAAAAATGTGTTGACTTTCCTCATCTCCTGTCATCTATTCTCTTTTCTTTTATTGTGGTTTTATAACATGCTTATTCTTTCATTGTTGCTTTAATGGATCTGGAAGGGAGGGTATAGAGATATATATTTGTACTTAATCATCATAGTTTACCAGAAGTCAAGACTGCTGCATGAGAATAGAATTTTCAAGTTTGTCTTTCTCTTCACTTAGAACAACAACATCTAAGCCTAGAGTAGTCATATCTTAGACTTGTAAGTAGTATAGCCCATCTTCCTTTGACAGTAAAGTTGTGAGATTTCCACAAGAAAGAGGAGGTAAGGAGGTAAGAGGTACCTTACAAGAAGTAAGGAGTATAAACAGTCATTTTTATGTCTGCTAATTTTCCCCATGGATTAATGCTCATTTGGGGTGTGAATTGTCGATTCAAATACTGTGCCCATTTTTTAACTGGGCTGCTTTTTTCTTTTTAGTATATATAGACTGGATATAAGTCCTTTGTCTTAGATGTATATATGAATATTTTCTTTTTTTTTAATTAAAAAAATTTAATGTTTCTTACTTATTTCTGAGAGAGAGAGAGAGAGAGAGAGAGAGCGTGAGCAGGGGAGGGTCAGAGAGAGAGGGAGATACAGAATCTGAAACAGGCTCCAGGCTCTGAGCCAGCTGTCAGCACAGAGCCTGACACAGGGCTCAAACCCACGAACCATGAGATCATGACCTGAGCCAAAGTCAGATGCTTAACTTACTGAGCCACCCAGGTGCCTCACGAATATTTTCTTCTAGTCTATGGTTTGTTTATTTTCTTAACAGTATCTTCAAATGAGTAGAAGTTTTCAATTTGATGAAATTCAGTTTCTTCTCTTTTTCTTATATAATTAATGCTTTTTGTATTGCCTCTAAGAAATCTCTGACTTCCAAATTTCCAAAAATATTCTCTTAGATTTTCTTCTAGAAGCTTTATAATTTTAGATTTTACATTTAGGTCTATGACCCATCTTGAATTAATTTTTATGTAAAGTCTGAGGTACAGGTTGAGGTTTATTTTTTTCCTATATATTTATCATAGTTGTCCCAGCTTCATTTGTTTAAAGGACTTTTATTTCCTATTAAATTGTCTTGAAACCTTTGTAGAAAATCAATCAATTCTGTATGCAAGTATTTGCCAACTTCCTAATCTGTCCCATCAATTTATTTCCATATGCTTCTGATAATTACACATTATCTTGATTAGTGTAGCTTTATAATAGATTTCAAAATCACCTTAAAAATTGGTGGGTCCTCCAAATGCTTGTGGAATCATGTTGGATTTATATTAGAGTCGATTTCTATAAAAATGTCTTAATGTTTTAACTGTGATTGTATTTAATGTGTAGATTAATTTAGGGAGAACTGATATCTTAATAATATTTTGTCTGTTGATCCATGAAAATCCTAAATTTCTCCATTTATTTAGATTTTTTTATCTCTTTGGGAAATGTTTATAGTTTTCAGTGTGGCGATCTTGCATGTCTTTTTAAAAAATGTTTATTTTTGAGAGAGAGAGAGCAAGGGGTGGGGAGAGGGAGAGAGAGAGAGAGAGAGAGAGAGAGAGAGAATCCCCGGCACAGAGCCTGACATGGAGCTTGATCCTCCAAACCATGTGATCATGACCTGAGCCAAAATCCAGAAGCAGATGCCTGACAGACTACATCATCCAGATATCCATTGCCTGTCTTTTATTACATTTATTCTGAAATATTTTATGTATTTGTAACTATGATTAAAAATTCTTTCTAAGTGTTTTCTGCAAATACATAAAAATAAAAATTTTTTTTTTGGTACATTGACCTTATATCCTATGACCTTTATAACTTCCTTACTAGTCCTTATAGTGTTTTATAGATTCCTTAGGAATTTCTACATCAATAATCACATCATCTGATCATAAGATGCTTTTACTTTTATCTTTTCGATTTTTGTTATTTAGTTTCTGTGTCTTGTTGAAGGGTTTTCCACCCTTGGCACCACTGACAATTTGAGCCTGTCCTGTCCCATTTTAGAATGTTCAGCAGTGTCCCTGGCCTTATCCACCACATGCCAGTGGTACCTTCTTCCCACCCCCTCCTTCTGCCCCTCTGCCCTTTTGAATAACTTCTAGGCAGAGGGAGCTAGTGAAGTCTTCAGGGGGCAGAAGCTGTGGGGCAGCTGGAAATGGAGGGCAGAAAGAAACAGCAGAAGCTTGGGAGACTGAAGAAGAGAGAGACAGAGGCAAATAGACAATAGGAGAGCTCAAGAAACAACATTTGGTCAATATGATGGGAGCAGAAATGTTCAACAGCAGGGGATTGCTGTCACAGGAGGAATGATGTGTCAGAGTTTCTGACGGTCCAGAAATGCCAAAATTAAGAAGTTTAGATTTTCTTCTTTAGGGCAATGGCTTTTTAATCTTTTCCTTCCTCCCTCCCTACTTCAATCCCTTCCTTTCTTTCTGTTATTTTTTTTCAAATGTCAGCAGAGCCCTGAAGAAATCAAATTAAGTCTTACATGGATGACTGGTATTGAAAATAGATGAAATCAGAGATTCATCAAAATATGCGCTGTAGGGAGGAACCCTGGAACCTGCCATATGATCTTGCCCTTGAGATGATTCCTGGGACCCTTCTGTAGCACCCTCAGTGTTCTTTGAAACACAGAGACAAACAGCCATTTTAGGTAATGAGGAGTCATTAATGTATTTTGAGCTGAGAAGGCAGACCTTTTCCTCGCTGTGAGCCTTAAGAAAGTTGTTTAGACTCTCTAGGACTCATTTTCTCATTTGTAACATGTAGATAATAATACCTTCTAGATAGGTTATAACAATTAGAGACAAAATACTTGGCACAGTGCCTGGTATGTAGGTGTTCAAATAAATGTAGCTGCAAAGTTAATGATCATGACAATAATAATGGAATCAGAGAATGTCACCAGGCATGAAGTTCCAAATTCCCAAAGTCATTATAAGATCTATGTTTGTGATTGGGTTCTTGGCTGACTCCAAAATCCGATTCACAAGACTGTTAACACACTGGAGCCACCATAAGGACCTACTGTTTGTGTGTATCTGCCTCTGGCTGGCCTTGGGTATCTAGGGAACATAGTTCTACCTGAGGCTCTTTTGAGTCAGGAGTTAAACTGAGCTTGAGACCGGCTCTTTGCAGTGGCTCTGAGTCCCCCTGTCATGCCTCCACCTAGAAGTGCCGCTCTCATATCTACCTGGTATATCCACAGGCAAAGCAAGGAACTACCCCCACTCACACTAAGCATGGTACAACTCAGCATTTCCTACTCCAGACTGAGCCCTGCTCCAACTGTGGAGCTCTGGGAAAAGCAGCAAGTTCCATTCTTACCCTTAAGACTGTCCATGTGTCATTTTATGGATAGAATACATTTGAATTGTGTATTAGCTATGTGCATATTATCTGTGGATATTCACCTTTTAGAATTCATTTACCACTTATTTATCATAAATATAACCTTGATATTGAGTGTCCAGTGTGTGCCAAGCATTGGCTTGGGTACAAATTGAAAATACACTAATGGATCAGCCTGCAAACATTATATAAATGCTGGTGATATAGACATGTCATATATTTATCAAACACACCTATATATGTATATATATACACACATGTGTAGGTATGTATATATATGTATATATATACACATATATATACATATATATGTATAAACTCAAAAGATATTTAATGTGGAAAGCCAAAGCCAACTTTCCAATGTGTTTGTGTCTTTCCAGGGTGACTTGTATGGCACTGCCAACACCATCTGCTCCAGAGCAGAAAGACTACTTAATAGCCAAAAGCAGCTGCCAGATTAGGCTTCAATGTACTCTTTCAGTTCCCTCCAGGATGACCTGATGTGACCACCCTTCTAGGTAAAGAGGATTCTATCTCCATTTGACAATTAATCCTTAACCTGAGGAAAGAGGAGTCATGTCAGCCCGGCTGACTTTAAGTCCCAGGAGGGTGGAAGTTTTACAGCTAACTTAGCTCTACCTTGAAAAGGCTATTGTGTCAATCATTCAGAGAGGTAATTCTGGTTTAGTCTGGTTTGAGGTCTGATTGTTTCAGTACCACGATGGGAGGAAGGAAAATATTTCTAAAATACTGACATGTGTTTCTTTTCCGTAATATTTTGAGATGCAGTAAAACACGGTGGCTAATCCCTAGGAAGGGAGTGTGGGTAGGGGTGAAGGAAAGGGTGGGCTAGGGAAGAAAAGAGAGTGAAATGCATTGGCATCAAGACTTTTTTTATTCTTTTTTTTTTTTTTTAATTTATCTTTGAGAGACAGAGTGCGAGTGGAGGAGGGGCAGGGAGAGGGAGACACAGAATCAGAAGCAGGCTCCAGGCTCTGAGCTATGAGCACAGAGCTCGATGTGGGGCTCAAACCCAGGGACCATGAGTTCATGACCTGGCCCAAAGTTGGATACATAACCAACTGAGCCACCCAGGCACCCCAAGACTTTTTCTTTTCTTAAATTTGAAATAAAAACCAGTTTTGCTAAAAAAAAAAAAATTAAGTCTCCTGCATACCTGACATCGTGGGGTAAGAGCTCACACTGCCTCAAAGACTTTTTGGGGATTTAGCCTGAATTAAAGTACCTCAGTGCTAACTGCTGTACAGTAGGCAACTTGGCAAATTGCTTAATAATGGAAGCAAGATCATTGTAAGAAATCTGGGAAATGCCAAAGTGCTTAAATCAAGTGAAAAAACCATGTGTAACATTTGTACCCATTTCTTTTCAGTATATTCTTTCTGCTTTTTTAGAAAATATAATTGAAATTATACTGTATATAGAATTTATCTTATACATGTTCTTTAACATTTTCTGTCATTAAAACCATTTACATATTCTTTTAAATTGATTATGTTAATTGCAAAATTAACCCATGTTCCTTGCAGAAAATTTAGAAAATAGAGGAAATAAAGAGTCCCAACTCAAGAAGATCATTATTAACTTAGTTATTAATATAGTTATGATATTAATATAGAGTACAGGCAAGGGTTTTACCTACAAAAGCCTCATTTTCCTTATCTTTAAAATGGAGATAATAATATCTCCCTATAGGGCTGTTATAAGATATTCATACAAATGTAAAATGTTTCTCACAGTGCCTGACATATCACAACACATATTTATAATTTTATACTGATTTTAAACAAAGCAATATCAACCTTCACAAATTATTCTACAATCTGCTTTGTGTTTTAACTGAATAATATATATCAGGATCATTTTTACATGTTAACAAACATAAATCTGCAATATAATGTAAATAACTACATTTTTTTAGTTTTTGTTTTTGTTTTTAGGTAGAGAGGAGCCAACTGATGAGTAGGCAATTGCCATTGAAAAGATAATTTGTTATGCCCACAAGTCCCAAGAAGAAGGGGTGCACAAGGAAGCACCAAGGTCAGTCAGAAGGCTGAGGGAATGTGGGAGACATATGGGCAAGAGCCTTAATTGTGGCTTCTGTGGGAAGGAACGGGCAAGGATTGGCAAGTTTGAATAATTTCAGAGGGCTCTGAGGCAAAGGGGTTGTCCCCAGTTTTCTGGGACCTGGTTCTGAGGGTGATTGAGCCCAGGGAATAGTGGCCCCTGAGTGTGAGAGCCCATAGAGGAGGTGGGTGGTAGGGTGGACTCCAGATGGGTTAGTTTGCATATGAAAGTCACACTCAGAAGCATCTGCACTCCGAAGTGTCCCAGCAACTGAGGTGCTCATATGGGGTTAAGCCTGGGTGCTGGGTCTCGGCCTTGGGAATACATTTTTTCTTACATTCTTTGGTCAAATAGGCCCTAGAGCAGGGGTTTTCAACCAGGAACAGTTCTGTGGGATATAGGACATTTGGTTGTCACAACTTGGTGGAGAATACTACTGACATTTAGTGTGCCGAGGTCAGGGACGCTGCCAAACACCCTACAATGCATGGAACTGCCTCCCACAACAGAGCATTATCTCTCCCAAATGTCAGTAGCACGAGACTGCCCTAGGTAACTGTATCCTGGAAGTGAACAGGACCAGAGTTTAAGCTATGGCCCGTCACACCAGAATTTTTCATTAATAACCACCCTGCAGTAGACATATTGTATTCATCATTTTTATAACTTTTCTTTTAGTCTCAAGATGTATCTTATTTTTCCTCTACCTGTTTCTTCCCTCTGTGTCTGATTCTGGAAAAGAAATTCTCGGAAGCATATGTGGAAAAAATTACTTAATCTACTATCTAATAGAACAGTTACAAAGACCTTTCATTTACATTTTCCTGTTTGCTTAGCTTTTGAGAGTCTCTATTACTTTATGAGATCAAGTCAACAAGTCTTTAATGACTGTCTGCCATATATTTAGCATGTGTCATTCTCTGGGAATCTAGCACAGTGCCTGACAGTGCACATAGGCACTTGGCCCATGAGAACATACATTATCTTATTTACTTCCTATTACATTATATGGCAATATCCATATAATGGAGGGATTAATATACCTCAGCTTATATATAAGCAGATACCTCACCTTATATATGCCTAGGTCACATGGCTAGTATGTAGTAGACTCTGGATTTGAACCCAAGCACATGGTCTGAACCCCAAAGCCAAAGCCCCTTTTATGGAATTCCGTGACTACTTTCTATTGATGAAAACTGGGGACCACAATTTTTTACCCTATTAAGAACTGTGCTGTGATTGGCTCTTTTAATTTAGAGGACTCTGTTAAGCTCATTCAGCTTCTCTGTAAAAAAACAAAACAAAACAAAACAAAAACTAAGTACAGTCCTGGATGAAAGGAAAAATATTAACCAAGGGAATAAACAGGCCTCATAATGGCTTGACTCCCACTCTACCAGAAAGTCTGACTTTCAAAAACCCTGATTCCTACCTAATTAGTACCTTAGTAGACGTCCTGTTAAGTAACAGAGATCAGTTAGGGAATAATGGCAAAGTTGGGGGACATTTCCCAACATGACCCAAGTTTTATTCTACAGATTGCTCCCTGGGAAATTAAACAGGTTCTCATTAAGCCTGAGGTGAGCCTTGAATTTCACAGAAGATGGAAAGGCTCATCAGAGTAGGCCTATTCTTGCTTTTGATATAAATTACTTATCCTCAGATGTCAGTCCCTTTCTTGCCCCACAGACTATCTCTTATATCATCCAGATGATCAGCAGTTTTTAAAAAATATATCCTTCTGTATGGTTTTTAATGGTTTTTCCCCCATTATGCCCATATTCCCTCTAAGAAGTAAGACTTGAGCTAGTTAGTTAAATAATCCTTAGTAACTACATAGAACTATACCCTATGAGAACTTTAAAAGTAAGATGCATAAAGAAAGTGGTGGAACAGAATAGAAGACGTGATTTCATCTGTTATGAAAAGGAAATATATTTTAATATTTATAAAATATGTCTGGACTAAGGCAATGGCCATTAGAGGGAAGAGGGGCAGAAGAGGTCAGACAGTGGTAGGATGTAGGTGACATTTGCTTTTCAAAGGTTTTAAGACCTAGTCCACTTTCCCAGGTAGAATTCTATAGATGACAAGATGCCATTTTGAAGGATCACGCCTTATCTATAATTTAAGGCATCAAGTTCTTGATTTGTTTACTAAAGGTAAACAAATTAATTTAATTATATATCATAGAGACTCCTGATAAAATACTTAGTCTTTCACAAGCTGCTTTACACACCAAGGATCCACACTCTGATTTCAGAATGGCTATTTCTTCCACCAAAGAAGATAATGTATCTTCTTTGCATTAATGTATTACACTTTTTAGGTCAAGGCCCACTTAGTTGGCGCATTTCTGTTGACCCCTAGCAATGCTGATTTTGCTGTGCATAGTTAACCACTATCACTGGCCACAGACATCTTTGTATGATCGCCATCCTGTCCCAACCCAACAAAAATGAGACAAGTCATTCAGCCATGGATCTCAGCTGAAAAGCAGAATCAGTAAATCTTCGCAATGGTGAGTTTGCCAAGCAGAGCTCTCTGGTACTACGAGTGTACTGACCAGTTAGAGAGAGAGTTCCAGGTCACACCATTCACTCTGCGCCCCTGACTATCTTTCTTCTTCTGGTCCAACTTTTTTTTTTTTTCATGATCGTATTGCAGTCTCTGCTGAAATTTAAGAAAGACTAAAAATCAGGCACACCTGTTGTAGTTGGAAATGGCCATGTTGTCTGTGTTATAGTGGCCATTGAGCCTGACAGCTGCACAAATGCAGGGCCAGTCAGGGTCCACTTCAACAGAAGTGACTTCTCTGTTTGGAAAAAAAAAATGCCAACAGAAACTCAGAGCCCGGACTGTTGCCGTGGGTTTGTTTGCTTGTTTGTTCACTTGCTTGTTTTTACAGAAAGAAGATTTTCTGGTTTGTCTCAAAGTGGAGAATCATAAAAATAATACATATACATATATACATTTACCTATTTTATTTTATCTTAAAAAATAGGTGCCTATTTTCCAGTGACTCATGTAGGGCCAAGGCTTGACTTGAGTTATGGATACACTGTTTGGAGTCATGGCACTGCCCCTTTTAAGGGAACTCCATGTTCTGATGCACCATGTACCATTTCTAGATGGGATTTCTTTACAGTGGAATTAGAACTCCAAGATACTTGTGAAACAACCTGAGAGTAGATTCCATCTAGATTTATACAATCTTTCCCTACAGAGTTAACTTCCCCATACATATTTCCACAGCAATATTCTTAGCTGGTTGTTTTTACTAAATCTTTCCAAAGCATTCTCGTTAGTATTTGTAGAAAACACAGCTCTTATTTTATTGTATTTCACTGGCTTATATAATTTGTAATTAAAAGAATATAATCAGTGGTTCAGTTGGTTAAGCATCAAACTCTTGATTCCGGCTCAGGTCATGATCTCAGGGTTCATGAGCTCGAGCCCTGTGTCAGGCTCCGTGCTAACCATGCAGAACCTACTTGGGATTCTCTTTCTCACTCTCTCTCAGCCCCTTCCTCCACTCGCCTTCTCTTGCTCCCAAAATAAAAATAAACTTAAAAAAAAGAATATAATCAACGCGTACAACTGGCATTGAGTGGTTTGGAGACAAAGTCCAACTGATCCTTGGACAATAGCACAGCTGGAGGGGACAGAGCAGGGAAGTGACTGAGCGAGCAGCCAGAAGCAAAGCCCAGTTACTGCTGGAACCTCAGTCAACAAGCCTTCCTTAACTCTGGGAGAAGGTGGGTTCAAAGACTATCTACTATTCATTAGTCTCTTTTAGGGTCTTGCAATGCATTTTAAGCAGCACTGATGGAGTCTTACACAGAAGAACAGAGTATCTGACAGGCGTGGAGGTGTTCTTGGGGAATTTCATTCATCCCCTCTCTGCCCCTTCTAGTCCCCTGAGGTGGCTCTTGAAAAACATCTGGAACACCTAGGGCTGTGTGAAGCACAGTATGCAAACCTTGGACAGAGTCCAATTCTTTCACAATGAAATAATAAACTGAGGTCCAAAGATAATGTGGCCAGAATTCGGTTTTTCTGGTTCCAGAGCTGACACTTTTTCTGCTATGTTTTCTGACTTTTATTTTCCATGCAACTTGAGGCTGCTCCTCCTTGGGTCGTTCTGCCATCTGATTGTCTCTGTGTGGCAGCCCAGAGGCCAAGAAGGAACATAGTGGAATGGGCTCAGCATGGTCCTTCCTCTTTGTATCGCTCTCTGAACTTCATGCCACTAGTATTGAATCCCTATGAATCAGTGTGTGGTGAGAGAGGCATGACTTTCTCGCTGACCATCCCACCAAGACTGTTACTTTTCAACACTTTGTGGACTGCAGAAGTGTTTTTATTGCTCAAGACATGGTTCCACTTTCGCCTCCAAATTGCTTCCAGGGGAGGTAACATCTAAGCTGGGCTTGTTCAGGAGAAAGGGGCAGAGGAGTGGAAGGGCAGCCTAGGCAAAGCAAGCATCAAATAGACAGGACTTGTTTTGACATGAACCAGTACATTGTTTCAGAAGCAGAAGGTGAGAGCAGGGGTCAGAATCGTGAAGGGTCCTGTATCCACACTTAAAAGTGTGGATTTTGTCCCGAAGGCACTAGAAAGCTATTAAAGGAGTACAAGCAGGGGCATGACCTGGCCAGGCTTGTGATTTAGATGGGTCACCTTGTCAATGCGAGAAAACGGATGGTGGTGGGAGGAGGGACGGAACGCAGGGAGACCAGATAGGAGATGGACGATTACAGTAATTCAAGGGAAAGATGATACAGCCCCAAACTAAGGTTTTAACAACAACGATAGATGGGAGGAGGCACATTCCAAGAGAACATTTTCCGATGCTGACTAGAAAGTTAGATTAAAGTGGCTAAAACAATTTTGGGGAGCATGAAGGAGAGCGTGGATGTGATCAAGCTTCAGATTCAATTGCAAGGAATATTTCGGAGCTTCTAGTCTTCCTATCAGGGCTTCCACATATGGCTGGACAGTTTGTACACTACTGTGCACTACAGAAGGTGCTACTGACACAATGCAATGTACTTAGACTGCAGCCCCTTCAAATTGCGCAATGCTACCATCTTGCTTCCAATGGCTGTGCAGATAGAAATTTCCAGAGAAAGTCTACATAGCTTCTCGAGAAATGTCACGTGAGATATCGAAGCCCAACTAAATAGAAGAGGCAAGGTAAGGCAAGATTCCTAACAGTAGCTTTTAGGGTCTAATGCAAGACTGAAACAGTCCTTGCTCCACCCAGGTGCTGGGAAGGGAGTGGAGTTCAGAAGGCTGCAGGCTCTCAGGCAGGTCGGGAGGGACACAGGAGGTGGTACAAAGTCCTTGACATCACAGCAGCCTGAAACAGAACTTCCACCAACACGGTGCAACTCTGAAACGTAGAAAATAGCCTCACCAAGGACATCCTACCATATGGTGCCCAATTCAAGGGCTCAGGGGAACTTGGAAGAGTCTTCACAGTGGCAAGTCCCTCAGCAGCATCTGCACCCACACCCCAAGGAGCATTTTCGTTCCATTCCATATTTGGAAAAGGCTGTGGTTTGTGCCCCTCCCTTTGATTCACATTAGCCAGTAAGGATGGGAAATCTTCTAGAAGCAGATGCTTTGTTCACAACTCGTGGTGCATACGAAATAGATGAAGAAGTAAGTGAGTAGGTGTAACTGTCCTTCAGGTTACACAATTAATATATTTCTAAGAAGTTGTGGGTGTACTGCATACAAACCAAATTTCAACTCAAGTTGGAAGTCTCTAACAGATGAAAATTGGAAATGAACGTGCCACGTGCTGTGCAGATCATATGGTCAGTGTCTACCAGTGCCTGCCTCATAGCAGATGCTTCACGAGTGCTCCCTGAACTCACAAATAAATGGGTTATGTTAACTAAGCCCTTCCACACAAATTATCTCATTTGATCCCAACAAGTCTATGAAGTAGGTGTTGTTATCTTTGTTTTATAGAAGAGAAAAAGGTCTGGAAGTTTCACAGATTTTTGTGCTCAAGGTCACACAGCTACTGAATGCTGTAGCTGGGACATTAATTGAGATCTTTTGATTCTTTCCACCGCTCGACAGCTGTTTGTAAAAGCTTCGGTCTGCACAATTCTGATTTAAAGGAACCTACTGAGCAATCCTCCAGTAAAGAAGAAAGCTGTGCCTGATGCGTATTTTGTAAGCCATTTTTTTAGTATTATTTTAGATTCTCCCAGAGTGGGGGGTCTCATCTTGTAAATGCATAAATGTCTAGTTTACACTTATTTTGAAGACTGAGTAACTGTGGCACATAAAGGATACACAAATGGCTGGTAACCACAAAAAGGGAAAAAGGAAAAAAACAGCGTGAAAGAAGGAGACTTCTTTCCTTCTTTTGCCCTATTAGAATTTACTTCCCTTGTATTTAGCTAGCATTAGAAATAATATTTTATTTCTTTTTTTAAAGTTTTTTACACTTACTTATTTTTGAGAGACCTGGAGAGACAGAGCACAAGTGGGGGAGGGGCAGAGAGAGAGAGGGAGACAGAATCTGAAACAGGATCCAGGCTCTGAGCTGTCAGCACAGAGCCCGACGCAGGGCTTGAACCCACAAACCATGAGATCATGACCTGAGCCAAAGTCGGACACTTAACTGGGCCACCCCGGTGCCCCTTATAATGTTTTATTTCTTATCTCTGTCTGGTTCAAGGCTGAAATATTTGCTTTCTAAAATTGAGACCTTAATTTGTTGGGTTGATTTGATAAACTAATGATGTGGAAATTGGTTCCGTGGAGGAATGAAAACCTACTGCCCCCAAATCACAGGTGCTGAAAACCATAGACGGAGGAAGTTGCAAGCTTCCTTCTATGTAAAAACTGAAGCAGTTAAGCCTCATGGTGCAGGAAGCTGGTCTCAGAAAGTGTTACCTCTCACACGTACCACAGCGAGTGAACTCTGCCCGTGTGTGGTTTTTCAGATTCCCACGCCTCTCCCACCTGCTTGGGGCCCAGGGGGCCCAAGTCAGCTCGAAACTTCACATCCCCTGGTGGTGACCCCCCAAGCCTCCTGCTGGAGACAGTGTTCTTGTTCCCTGTCCCCAACTGCTGTTGAACGTTGCGTGCTTGGTGAGCTTTCCCTCCTGATCTTTTTTTAGGTAAGCATGAACAGAAGCCCAAGGATCAGGCGCTGGCTGCAGAACAAAGATGTTTACTTTCCACCAGGATCAAAGGTGAATATAAACCAAAAATAAGTACAGCACCTTTACCATCAGAGTCTTCCAGACAATAAAACAGAACATATTTTGGGAGTTGTATCAGCAGACACTGCTCAGGAGAATTTATCTAAAGCAATGATTATCTTAATTTTATCTACCCAGTCCTTATTTGACGAGCGGAAGTGTTATTTCATGGATGAAGGACAGTAGACCTCAGCAGCCTGGCCCAAGGTGGTGTTTTTAAGACTTTCAGAGACCTCCACCTTGTTCGTGGTTAAACTTTATTCATTCAGCTTTCCCTGATTCAGAATGCTTCCTCCAATTAATGTGTGCTGAGCAGAAACACTGAATGTCAAATTTAAAACAAAAAGAAAGTTTGCTTAGTATTTTAGTTGATAAAAGGGGGTCCAGAAAGATCTAAATACATACATGCAAGCATAAAATTTTGATGGAGGTGATGGTGTATTCACCAGCAAGCAAACTGCAGATTCACAATGGTGTTTATTGAAGTGCACTATTTTTAGCAATGGCAGGTCTGGTGGAGCTTGGCTTTGACAGGGCCGTTTGATCCTTCCTTTCATCACCGCGTGGTGGGAGGACCTTGGCGAGCCTGGGGGGAGAAATCACCACCGGGGCATCCACCGCACGAACCTCCGCTCTTGGGACCAAACATAGCCCTGCTGCTTCAGGAAGGTTTGCATAAAAGGGATTGGTTTTCATTTGATTCTGCAAATGAACTCACTGTGAGAGCCTGGCAGAAAGGAAGAGAATAAGAAAGAAAAAAAGATTCTTAAGCAGTCCTGGCCAGCTTCCAAATGCTTCAAGCTGACAGCACAAGTGGTTTAATCTGCTTCTTTAGAGCTGAAGACTTGCTTAATTTTCAAGGCCACAAACCGGGGACTTAATGAGCAATTGCCTGAAATTCTGAACTTTTTTTTTTTTTGGTAAAAAAGAAAAAAAAAAACAAGATATTATGCTTGAGCTACACTACATTAATTTTTTAATTGTAGAAATGTCGATCCCTCTCGTTCACTTAAAAAACATTTTAAAAATTGTAAAACTGCATGACTTCTCTGAGAAAGAATCAGGTTGCATATGTTGTTATCATATGATTACATTAGAACTGTTTAAGACAAAAAGAAAACCCTCTTCAAAATGAAATTGATTGAGCTGGATCTAAAATAATTGTTATTTATTTGATGACTGTTTATCATGGGCAGGCATTAATCTTGGTTTGTTGCAAAGATAAATAGCAATAAAACATATTCACTGTTCTCAGGGCCTCACAACTGAGCAGGGAAAGCACAAATTTATGGCTAAGTGAAAGATATATCCTAATTTTCATACAATGTAATGAGCATTACATAAAAGGTATGGGCAAGACACTGTGGAAACAAGAAAAGGTAGCAACGAATTCAGCCGAGTGGGGCATAAGTCTGTTTTGGTTTCACATGGATATTAACATTGAAGCTAGGCTTTAAAGAGATACTACCTAACAAGACTTAGGAATAATGCCAGGACCAAATGGGGACATACTGTATAGCACTGGCTAGCAGTGAGGGCAGCTCTGTTCAGATAAGGAGACCAGGCCAGAAAGGGAATTACTCAACAGCTGCCATCTGTCTAAGCCCCATCGGATCCTACCTGAGCTGGAATGCGAGGCTACTATCTGGTTTTACTTCACCTCTCGCAGATCTACAGAGTCTTTTCTCCACAATGCATCAAAACTCACCCCCTTACTATCTAAATCATGTATTTCTTTTTTTTATTATTTATTTTTATTTTTTAGTTTACATGCAAGTTAGTTAGCATATAGTGCAATAACGGTTTCAGGAGTAGAATCCAGTGATTCATTCCCTGCATACGGCACCCAGTGCTCGTCCCAACAACTGTCTTCCTCAATGCCCTTTGCCAGTTTAGCCCATTTCCCCACCCATAACCTCTCCAGCAACCCTCAGTTTGTTCTCTGTATTTAAGTGTCTCTTATGTTTTGTCCCCCTTCCTATTTTTATATTATTGTTGCTTCCCTTTCCCTATATTTATCTATTTTGTACCTTAAATTCCACATATGAGTGAAGTCATATGATGTTTGTCTTTCTCTGATTGATTAATTTCATTTAGCATAATACCCTCTAGTTTCATCCACGTTGTTGCCAATGGCAATCATTCTTTTTGATTGCTTAGTAATACTCCATTGTATATGTATACCACATCCTCTTTATCCATTCATCTGTCAATGGACACTTGGGCTCTTTCCATACTTTGGCTATTGTCAATAGCTCTGCTATCAACATTGGGGTGCATGTGTCCCTTTGAAACAGCACACCTATACCCTTTGGATAAATATCTAGTAGTGTAATTGCTGGGTCGTAGGGTAGTTATATGTTTACTTTTTTGAGGAACCTCCATACTGTTTTCCAGAGTGGCTGCACCAGTTTGCATTCCCACCAGCAGTGCAAAAGAGTTCTTTCTCCGCATCCTTGCCAACATCTGTTGTTGCCTGACTTGTTAATGTTAGCCATTCTAGCTGGTGTGGGGTGGTATCTCATTGTGGTTTTGATTTGTACTTCCCTGATGATGAGTGATGTTGAGCACCTTTTCATGTGTCTGTCAGCCATCTGGATGTCTTTTGAAAAGTACCTATTCATGTCTTTTGCCCATTTCTTCACTGGATTGTGTTGAGTTTGATAAGTTCTTTATAGATTTTGGATGCTAACCCTTAATCTGTCACTTGCAAATGTCTTCTCCCATTCCATTGGTTGATTTTTAGTTTCGCTCATTGCTTCCTTCACTGTGCAGAAGCTTTTTATCTTGATGAGATCCTAATAGTTCATTTTTGCTTTTGTTTCCCTTGCCCTGGAGATGTGCTGAGTAAGAAGTTGCTGTGGCCAAGGTCAGAATGGTTTTTGCCTGCTTTCCCCTCTGGGATTTTGATGCCTTCCTGTCTTACTTTTTAGGTCTTTTATCCATTTTGAGTTTATTTTTGTGTATGCTGTAAGAAAGTGGTCCAGCTTCATTCTTTGCATGTCTCTGTCCAGTTTTCCAACATCATTTGCTGAAGAAACTGTCTTTATTCCATTGGATATTCTTTCCTGCTTTGTCAAAGATTAGTTGGCCATACGTTTGTGGGTCCATTTCTGGGTTCTGTATTCAGTTCCATTGATCTGAGTGTCTGTTTTTGTGCCAGTATCATACTGTCTTGATGATTACAGCTGTGTAATACATCTTGAATTCCAGGATTGTGATGCCTCTAGCTTTGGTTTCCTTTTTCAGGATTGCTTTGACTATTCGGGGTCTTTTCTGTTTCCATACAAATTTTAGGATTGTTTGTTCCTAGCTCTGTGAAGAATGCTGGTTTTATTTTGATAGATATTGCATTAAATATGTAGATTGTTTTGGGTAGTATCAACATTTTAACAATATTTGTTCTTCCAGTCCAGGAGCATGGAATATTATTTCTCATTTTCTGTTGGTTTGGGGTTTTATTTGCTGTTCTTTTTCCAGCTCTTTAAGGTGCAAGATATAAGGTTAAGTTGTGTATCTGAGGCCTTTCTTTCTTCTTTAGGAAGGCCTGGATTGCTATATACTTTCCTCTTATGACTGCCTTTGCTGTATCTCAGAGGTTTTGGACTGTGGTGTTATCATTTTCGTTGGCTTCCATGTACTTTTAAATTTCCTCTTTCAGTTCTTGGGTAACCCATTCATCCTTTAGTAAGATATTCTTTAGTCTCCAGGTATTTGTTGTCTTTCCAAATTTTTTCTTATGGTTGACTTGGAGTTTCATAGCATTGTGGTCTGAAAGTATGCACAGTATGATCTTGATCTTTTTGTACTTTTTGAGGGCTGATTTGTGTCCCAGTATGTGATTTATTCTGGATAATGTTCCATGTGTACTTGAGAAGAATGTGTGTTCCGCTGCTTTACAATGAAATGTTCTGAACGTATCTGTTAAGTCCATCTGGTCCAA